AGAGCAATGTGGAGCAGAAAAGTGGGGTCAGATCTCCCACAGAGACCCCACCTGGGGGGACATGTCTAGTAGAGCCACGGCAGTGGGGCTGCCAGCAGGACCCCAGAACTGTAGGGCCACTGGTCACATGCAACACTGGCCTGGAAAAGCCACAGGCACCAATGCAGCCCAGTGGGATGCTCTCAGCTGAGCCATGGGTGTGGGACTGCCCAAGGCTTTAGAGGCCCAGAGGCCCCATTGTGCCCAGGACGCAGGACTTGGAGTCAAAGAAGATTATTTTGGAGCATTTAGATTTAATATCTGCCCTACCAAGTTTCAAACTTGTTTGGGGCATGTTTCTCCTTTATTCTGGTCTATTCCTTCCTTTAGGAATGGGAATGTGCATCCAATGTCTCTTCCACCATTGTATCTTAGCAGTAGATAAATTTGGTTTTGATGTTTACAGGTTCACAACTGGAAGGAGTTTTGCCTTTGGTCTCAAATAAGGCTGTGGACTTTGGACTTTTAAATTGATGCTAGAACAAGCTAAGATTTTTGGAACTGTTGGGATGGAATGACTGTATTTTGTATGTGAGAGTGACGTGAGTTTTGGGGGGCCAGGGGCAGAATGATGGAGTTTGGATGTGTTGTCCTCCCCGCCCCGAAACTCATGTGGAAATCTGATACCCAGTGTGGCATTGTTGGGAGCTGTTTGAGTCATGGGGTCGGATCCCTCATGAATGGATTAATGCGAGTGAGATCTTGCTCTGTTAGTTCCCATAAAACCCTGGCACCTTCCTCTCTCTGTATTGCTTCCTGTCGCCATGCGATCTGCTCACACCCACTGGCTGCCTGCCACTTTCAGCCATGAGTAGAAGCAGCCTGAGGCCTGTACTAGATGCAGCTGTCCCAGAATTGTAAGATAAATAAACCTCTGTTCTTTATGTTACCCGGTCTCAGGTATTCTGTTATAGCAACATGAAAAACAGACTATACAGAAATTGTGTAGCATTTCTTGAAAAGAGTGAGGAGTTCAATGTGGCTGAACTATGGGGTGCAAAAGAAAAATGGGTGTGAGGGTGGCAGAGGAGGGTTAAGACTAGCTTCTGAAGAGGGGCTGCTGTGGGGCTCACAGGATGGATGGAGAAAGGAGATGGGTCCTCCGAGCAAGGCACAAGCTTCCCTATTCTGGCCCCAGCCTTCCCATGATGGCCTTCCTTTATGCTTCTGGAAGCAGTACAGCTCTATATGTTTCTCTCCATGTGCAGTTCAAGGCACATTCAGTCTTTAGGGAAATACTTCACCATAACAACAGGCCTGGTCCAGCAATGAAGTGCTTCTCCCTGGCTAGAAAGAGCAGGATTTCTGCTGGGCAGCCACCAACTGGTTCCCCAATCTTCTTCCCAGCCTACCAGTCCTGGGCTTCAGTCGGCTGTAGGCCCAATTAAGTTTCTTGTTCAATGGGGCATCTTGGTGCTTTAGGTAGTCCTCTAATGATTTGCCTGGGCCCCTCTAATTAACTTGCAATGCCATTTCTTCCCCAGCAGCCCTATTTTTGTCTCTTTATTTGAGACATCCAGGCTGCAAAGACAATGTAGAAGGCTCAATTATCTTAAAAATTCACCTTCCTCACCTTCCATCTTACCTCCTTCTCTCTCCTTTCAGGGATCTGTATCATGCCACATTGGGGCTGTGTCCAAGATGAAGGTGAAGCCACTTCCACATTTAATTTTTTCTCTGGCTCATTGGCCCACCACTATTTTGAGATCATTTCTTAACAGCTGCCAGTGTGAAAAAAGCCTTAGGAGGTTTAGTTAACTAAGAGCTCAATGTGAGTCAGCAGAATGATGTGACTGCTAAAAAAAAACTTAATGCAATTTAATCAGAAAGAGAGGGCCCAGAAGGAGGGTGGCAAGAGCTTTAGCTCTGCTTTGCTGCTTCACCCTGCAAGGCAGCACCAAGCTGTTTATCACCATGCCTGAGGATGCTGCAGGTAGAAGGGGAAAGGGGCACTGTCCTGGAGGGCTGCAAATACACTGGCCTCCTGGTGGTACCTCACCATACCAGGCATGCTCTTGCTTCTAAGCCTTTGAATAGGCTATTCAGTCTGTCTGAAACACTTCTTCCATTTCTTGACATGGTTCACTCCCTTATTTCCTTAGGCCTCTGCACACATCTCCCCTCTCCAGAGAGGTTGCCCCTGGCCTCCCTACTTAAAGTAGTCCCTCCCATCACTCTCTATCTCTTCTTACATTGCTTTGTCTTAGTAGCACTTATGTCCTGACATGTATTATCTGTCTCTCCCAGTAGAATGTAGGCTTTTTATATGTTTTATCCACTATTGTGTCTAAAACAGTTCCTGACGCATAGTGGGAGCTCAATACAAACTTTAATGAACAAATAAACTCTTTCATAGCATTTACCTCATACTGTAATTTATATTTTCTTCTGTCTTATCCCCACTAAAATTTTATCTAGAAAGCCTCTTTTTCCTCTTTCTTGACATTTTCATTAGTTACCTATGCAATGTCTAGCATGGTATGTATTGGATGAATGGATGGATGGATGGATGGATGTACTGGCAGAGATGTTGCAGAAGGGTTTCAAGTATTGGATGGGGGTTGGCCTAGACTTATGCTGCCTAATACAATAGTTACTAGATATGCGTGACTACTGAGCACTTGAAATGAGGCTCGCCTAAATTAAGATGTGTTACGAATGTAAAATGCACATCAGATTTTGAAGCCTTGGAATAAAAACATGTAATGTTTGTATTGATTACATGTTTAAATAATAATATTTTAGATGTACTGGATTAAATAAAATATATTCCTAAAATTAAGTTGATCTGTTTTTTTCTTTTTTAATGTGTCTACTGGAAAATTTATTTATGTATTTATTTATTCATTTAGTCATATATTCATTTATTACAAATATTCATGAGATACAAAGCTGATTGTTCCCCCTCCTGCCCATGATGTGGGGGCCAGATTCATACTGGGGGCATATCCATTACCAGAAATTACTTTTGCACCCTTTGCCCCTCCCAATTATCCCCCAACCTCTCTCCCCCTCCCCCTCTCCCCCTCCCCCTCTCCCCTCAACTCCAATTTGTAGCCCTAGGAATATTCCCTCCCTCTGCTGGATCACGGTACTACTGTGGTCTTTCTTTCCTGCCTTCCTTTCTCTCTTAGCTCCCACATATGAGTGAGCAAATGTGGTATTTAACCCTCTGTGCTCTACTTGTTTCACTCAACATAACTTTCTCCAGGTTCATCCATGTGGTTGCAAATGGGAGCATTTCATTCTTTTTTATGGCAGAGCAGTATTTCATAGCATATATATACCACCAAAGTTTCCCTATCCAATCACCTATTGATGGACATTTAGGTTGGTTCCATATCTTGGCTATTGTAAACAGAGCCTCAATAAACATGGGAGTGCAGGTATCTCTTCGACATGATGATTTCCATTCCTCTGGATATATACCCAGAAGAGGGATTGCTGGATCATATGGAAGATCTATCTGTAGTTGTTTGAGAAACCTCCAAATTGTTTTCCAAAGTGCTTGTACTAATTTACAGTCCCATCAACAGTGCAGTAGCATTCCCTTCTCTCCACACCTTCGCCAGCATTTGTTATTTGCCATCTTTTTGATTATAGTACTGGAAAATTTAAAATTACATCTGTAACAAGCATCATACTTGTATTGGATAGTGCTGCTCTGGAGATTTTGACCACCTCCATGTTTAAACCCGGACCTTTACAAGCTTGTGAGGGGTATGTGTGTGTGTGTGTGTGTGCATGCATGTGTGTGTGTGTGTTAGGGGTAATTTTGGTTTTTGTAATTAACACAGAAGAGTGTTCTCCATAATCATTGCTCCTGGGTACTGATGACAACGGGGTCAAAAAAATAGCCCCATGGTCTATTACCCAACCTCATCTTTCTCATTTCTGCCATTTCTCATCCCAGTTGCTCCAAAGCTTCTAGCCACAAACTAGGTTGAATGGTTAGATTTTTTTTCACCTCCTTTCTTACCTCCTGCCCACTCATGCTTCCCCTGACAGTGACATCAATAAACACATAAATGGTCCAAAAATGAGCTACAAATTGGAAGAGGAAAATCTAGCCACAAGCACCCTGGATGACCCACACCCTGCAGAGCCCTCAGTTCAGAAAATCTATCTCTGCCTGATATGCAATTTTATGCCTATAACCAACTCCACTTGAAGAGTCCCATGCTGGGTTATCCCAAGAAGGTAATAGAGAAGTAAAAGCCATTGCCTTCTAGGAGATTATAATGAAGTTGGAAAATAAAACCAAGGTGTACATGAAAAGTTAAACAAGTACATAGAATAGTCATCGAAGAAATGTTGGGTAGAGTGTGATTAAGGGCCAACAAATGACCCAGAATGTTGGACCTCTAGGACTTCAAATCAGGGTTAGCCTCAAGGGTTAAGGCAGTCAGAGAAAGCTTCTTGGAGGATGTGTATGATGTTATAAAATCCTGGATTTCCAGAGCTTAAAGGACTCTTAGAGACATAGTGTACTCCTTATTGTACAGATAAGGAAAGTGAGGCCCAGAGACGTAAAGATCACAGGAAAAATTGAGATTTGAACCGAGATTTTCTGGTTCTCAGTCCACTATTCTCTCAACCAGGTGCTGAGAAGGAAGGGATGGCATTGTAGGTGTTAAGAATGTAAAAAAGACACAGAAGCTCAAATGCCTGAAGGAATTACTCACTCCCCAACACATACCTCCTCCCAACTCACAGACACATGCACGCACACCCCCTCCCAAACCTAATCTGGGATCTCCCTTTCTTTTATTCCTCAAGAGCATGTTAATTTAGCAGGTGAAACACATAACACTGAATTCAAATTACAGGTAAAACATCAAGTCTTTTTTTATTAGTTAGAAATGGGTCACATGTTGATGAATAGCCTCTCTAATGTAACGTGCTATCTCAAAAGCTTTGAGGTTGAGAGGCCCTCCTTCTGTTCCTTTTTGTCCCATCACCACAAGGTACACAGACTCGATCTGAACCACCGTCACTGCCTGGCTGCCCCGACTCTGGCCTTTGGTGCGCAGGTCCATGGTGTTGTTGCCCTCAGTGTACAGGTTGTCCCGGATCAGCAAGCATTTGGTCCCCGCAAGGGTGATTCCCTGGAGAAATAACTTCTCTCTCCCCTCCCTTGCCACCAAGATCTGAATTTCTTCTTGAGTCAACTGGAACAGGTTGCCTTCAGTATAAGATGCTAATAACCAAGGAGGGGAATTGGTGATAATTGCTGCATCACAGCATATCCCAGTCTGTAGGAAGAGGGTGATGTAGTCCTGCCAGACCTCTTTGGTGATATTCCCTATGCACTGCATTATTCAAGTAAGTGGTCTCTAAAAAATGAATAAAGTGCTTTCAAGCAAGTTGGTCTTCAAAGGAAGTTTGTTGGCATTTGGCTCAAGAAGTATGATAAGCTGAGACTGAAATAAGTTAAAAATAGTCTGTTTCTTATGGCCTTTCTCCAGAAGCAAGGTGGAGGAGGTCTTGGTGACTTGTTATGCCTCAGTTGCCTTCTGCTGTGATTTATCAAGCTATCTCTGGAGCAGGAGTGAGGTCACAAAGGCTGTGTGACTTTTAAAATAGTCATCATCAATTACATCATTGGTGACCTCTGGTAGTAGCTTTCTGAGGAAGTATCCAAAGCTAGCAAGATTATAGGACAAAGTAGACCTACCTACTTCCCTGGGATACCATGGGAAGAACATTAACCCCCAATAGTAGGAAAGCCCTGGAAGTAGAACATAAGTGGACAATAATTGAGTTGGAGGCTTGAATGTAAAACAGGACAGGGGAGATTTACTACAGAAACGATTATCTCATACGTTGGCTAATCTTGCTGAGACCTGGGATCTAGGTACAAAGTAAAAAAGCCTATAGGGTTCACCAGTTCACAACTTCTTTTTGGACAATCACAATTGCCTCCTAACTGGTTTCCTTGCCTCCAGACTCTTTCCCTCTAGTTTATCCTCTGGCCCTCACCAGCTGTGAGTCTAGAGTTGTTCATTCTTATCCAGTCATTTAGCAAGTATTTATCAAGCATTCACTATGTGCCAAGTACTTTTCTAAGCACTGGGGTACAGTGGTGAACAGAACAGAGACAACCCATTGCCCTCATGGAGCTGGCATTCTAATGGAGACAAAAAAGTAATAGATAATAGCAGTATCCCTTTCACTAAAAATATTTTATGAGCCTAATACTCTCTTCTTCCAGATTTTCTCTCTCATTCCCAGGCTTTCTTTACTACTGTGGATGTTTGTTCTGACTCGTGACTCTTCTGCAACCTTTGCTAAGTCATTGTCTGTGCCTCATTTTTTTCTGAAATGATACCAACTTGCCTTAAGGAGGGAATTTTATGAGAAATGACTAATTTTAATGGTGGGAAAAATATGGAATAGCTCTGAAAATGCATTTATTCAGCATATATTTAATGAGTTCCTACTGAGTGCCAGGCCTATTCTAGACTTTGGAGATCTAGCAGTAAACTAAAAGTCCCTACCCTAAAAGAAGTGACATACATAAAATAATAAATGACAAACATATTTATAATATATCAGGTGGTATTGGTAACTATGAAGAAAAAGGGTTAGGAGAGTACAGAATGTTGGAGAAGTGGTAATGGTTTTATTTTATATAACGTGCTCAGGTAAGGATTCTCTGACATGGTGACATTTGATCAGAGACCTGACAGAGATGAGGGAGTGAACATGTAGATATCTGGTGGAAGAGCATTCTAGGCAGAGGGAATAGCAAGTGCAAAGTCCCTGAGACAGGAACATGTCTGGTATACTTGAGAAACAGCAAGGAGGTCAATATGACTTGGGCAGAGAGAGAAAAGGGTTATAGAAGATATAGTCAGAGAAGTACTGGTCTTAGATCATATGTAGGGCTTCATAGGGCATGATTAAGAGTTTGGTTTTTACTCTGAGATGAGGCACCACTAGAAGGTTTTATACAAAGGAGTGACATCATTCTAGATTCTAGATTCTAGTCCCATAGAAGATGCTATGTAGAGATAGATTCTAGGGGACCAGCACCAACACATGGAGACAAGTTAGGAGACTGTAGCAATAATCCAAGCAAGAGGTAATAGAGGACTGAGCCAAGGGTACAAGAGAACGAAATGGTTGGATTTGGATAATATCTTGAAGGAAGATCTGATAGGTTTTGATGATGAGTTGGGTATGTGGGATATGAGAGAAAGAGGATGCTTCAAAGGCTTTTGACCTAAGGGGTCAGCCCTGTGGCTTACCTGGGAGAGTGTGGGGCTGATAACACAAAGGCCATGGGTTCGGATCCCTATATAGGGATGGCCAGTTAGCTCACTTGGGAGAGCGTGGTGCTGACAACACCAAGTCAAGGGTTAAGATCCCCTCACCAGTCATCTTTTTTTTTTTAAAGGCTTTTTGGCCTGAACAAATGTGCTATGGTTTGAATGGTTGTGTTCCCTTCAAAATTCATGTTGAAACTTACTCCCCAATGCAACAATATTAAGAGGTGGGGCCTTTAGAAAGTGATTAGGCCATGAAGGCTCCACCCTCATGGATGGGGATTAGTGCCTGATAAAAGGGCTGGAGGGAACTAACTAGATCTTTTTTCTCCTTCCATCTCTTCAGCCATGTGAGGACACAGCTTTTGTCTTCTCTGGAGGATGCAGTGTTTAAGATGCCATCTTATAAGTAGAGAGAGCAGTCCTCATGACACTGAACCTGCTGGCACCTTGATCTTGGATTTCCAGCCTCCAGAACTGTGACAAATATATTTGTGTTCTGTATAAATTACCAAAGCTTAGGTAATTTGGGATAGCAGCACAAACAAACTAAGACAAACTGGAAGAATGGAGTTGCCATTTCCTGAGATGAGAAATACTATGGAAAGAGCAGGTTTGAAGATGCAGGTAGAAATCAAAAGTTCTGTTTTGGACATGGTAAGTTTAAGATGCCTCTAAGATATCCAAGTAGAAATGTCAGTAGGCTGCCTAATATTATGTAAATTTGGAGTTCAGAGGACAGATTAGGACTAGATATAAATCTTTGGGACATAGACATGAAGTTTTAGGACTAGATATAAAGTTTTTCCACAAATAGATGTTATTTACAACCATGGGACTGGATGACAGCAGCCAGAGATTAAGTGTAAACAGAGAAGAGGACCAAGGTCTGAGCCCTGGCAACATTCCAACATGTAGAGATAGGTAAGATGAGTGGAAGCAGCAAAGGAGATTGGGAAAGAGAAGTCAGAGAAGTAGGAGAGAGAGTGGTGTCCCTGAAGCCAAGTGAAGAAAATGTATCAAGGGGAAGGGAATGATCAAATACTGCTGAGAGGACAAGAATATATCTGAAGATTGACCAGTAGATTTTGCTATGGTGAGATTATTGGCAACATTGATAAGAGCAGATTGGTGGAGTGGTAGGGGCAAAGCCTGATTAGAGTGACTTCAAGAGAGAACAGGTGGAGAGGAAAAGAAGTGGGGACAGAATGCATTTAGACAAATCTTTTGGGGAGTTTTCCTATAACATATAACAGGGAAATGGGGAGATGATAGCTAGGGAACAGAAATGTGGGTCAATAAAGAGTTTTTTTAAGATTAAAACTATTATAGAATTTATTTTGTGCTGTTGGAAATGATCTGGTAAAGTGTACACATTTAGTAATAAAGGAAATGGGACAATTGAGCAGGTGAGAGAGGATGAAATTGAGTGAACAAGTGGAAGGGTTGCCTTAGGAAGACTCAGGAACAGTTCATTCATTGAAGGCAGATTATATGGGTTCACATGCAGGGCAGCAAGCAGATTTGGTTGTAGGAGGATGTGGAAATTTCCTTCTGATGGTTTCTATTTTATCAGCAAACTAGGACGCAAGGTAATCATCTGAGAGAGAGAGAGAGGAGAACAGAAGTGTTCAGATTGAGTTGAGGAATGGAAGGGGACCACCAATATTCATTGTTCCAATATGTTGTTCCTGGCACATTACATACTCTGAATCCCCATAAGAATTTTATAAGAATGAGTTTACAGACAAGAAAATGAAGGCCCATTCTGCTATGCTTTCTGAAGGTAAATGAGAGAGAGAGAGAGAGAGAGAAACTAAGGCACTGAGAGGTTGTATAACTTGCCCATAGTCATGCTAATAGCAGAGCCGAAATTTGAACCTGGTCTGACTACAGAGTCCACACACTCTTTTCACTATCTCAAACAGCACAGAAATGAGGTTTTTAATCTGAGTAACCAGGCACATGGTGGTGCTTTTAGAAGGGATAGAGAAACCTTGAGAAAGAGCAGGTGGCAGAGGTGGGAGAATGTGGGGAGGTGGGTGGGAGGAGAGCGTGAAAGATGATGAATTTGTTTTGGGTGATTATGCCTTTAATATGCTAGCAAGAGCATACAAGTGGAACTCCCAGGGGGCAGTTGGAAGTTCTAAATTTGAGCTCAGGAGAAAGGTCACAGGACTTGAGGTATAAAGTTGGGAGTTCCCTACCTGGATGGGGAGTCAGGTAAGAGTTGAACTTGTAGAAGAGATCAAGATTACCAACGGAAAGAAAATAGAAGAGGAATGAGGATAGAAGCCAGGGAAATGGCTAAAAAAAGGACAAAAAGAACTGGGAAGGAGGCAGAGACAGAACAATTAGGCATGCAGGCAGTGAGTCTTCTTTATAACAAAGGGCAAGACAAGAATGTCAAAAAGAGATATGAATCAATAGTGTTAAATGCTGCAAAATAGAGAATGAGCATTGAGAAGAGTTGTTGTACTCATTGGAGTTGAGGATAATGTAAAAAAGCCAACTCAGGGGAGTGGTTAGGGAGTTTGTTATGAAGTGGAGGTGATGATAAGCAGACTATTCTTTTGAGATGCTTGACAGTAAAAGAACTGAAAATGATGAAATGACAGTTCAAGGGAAAAGAGGGCCAAAAATCGAGGGAAGGGCTTTTAGGTAGGAAAGAAGGCAGAATATGATGAATGAGTAGTTTAGCTAGCAAATGTTATGGGCATTCAAAGAAGATAGAAATCACTTTTTAGGGGAGGTGAGATTGCAAACCT